GTGCATTTGTAGCTGGAGGAAGCAGAGAGAAGGGAAGCAGAGAGAAACACTGATCAGGCGCCTGTGAACCTCGATATGCCCTCGGCTCTGACAGTTCATGAAAAAGGCTCTAGGCAAGTTACCATGCAATCAACTGGGAATGAGAAAACACTGATGACTGTAATGCTGGCCTGCATGGCAGATGGGTACAAGCTGCCCCCAAACATTGTGTTCAAACGAAAGACGCCACTGAAGGAGAAAAAGTTCCCAGAGAAATGTTGTCATCCGCTGCCAGGACAAGGGGTGGATGGCTGAGTTGCTCGTACTTAACTGGATCATGTCCGTATGGTGCCGAGAACCCGGAGCAATAGGCTTCCATCGATGCTTGTGCTCGACGCATTTCAGTGTCATCTGGCGGACTCCGTGAAGCGATTCCTGCACGTCTCTCGCAGCGAGCTCGTCGTTATCTCGGGAAGAATGAAATCCCCGCTGCAGCTGCTTGATGTGTGCCTCAATGAGCCATTCAAGGACCACATGAAGCGCCTGTATATGGAGTGGATGAGGTCCGGAGGGCCGGAAGTGACCCTTGCCAGACGACTGAAGCGGGCCTCGCCAGCGATGCTGTGCTCCTGGATCGCTGAGCCTTGGGCCTGCATTCCCGAGGCCCTTGTTTGCCGTTCCTTTAAAGGGTGCTCTATCTCAAATCTTCGATGGCACTGAAGATGAGGCGTTGCTGGAGCAGATGTCCGACAAGGAGCTTCGGATGGGAGCTTGTTAAATGTCTAAATAAATGAATTTTTTGTTTTCCTCGGTATATATTCCGGTGAAAACTTTTTTTCTCACTTGCTATGCCCGAAGTGCACCTTAGACTATTATATATGCAGGTCCGATCTATACGTGGATTTTTACGGTACTTTTAAATGTAAAGCACTTCTTTGCATACTGCAGGCACTTTTAGCATCTGTTTGCGTGTCTATCTAGCCACCTTCGTCAAGGTGCTCTTGTGATCGCCCCCTTGGCATGGGGTACACCAAAGTTATTATGTGAGGGTAAGAGGGTTTGATGAATCTGACTCACTGGTCATGACATGAAGAATGTCAAAATTCGGTTGCGTACATCGTCAAACACTTTCTGTCAGACACGTGTGGCGCATACCCGCATGCCACACGCGAGTATGCACCACTGGTATGCAGGTATGTGCCACAAGTAGGCTTGTGTGAATATTCGAATGCTTCGAATATTCGAACGAATATTTCAATACAGTCGAGCCCACATATAACGGCCCCATTTAAAACGAACTTTCGCTTAAAACGAACATTATCCGCGTGATCGTCAAAATATGCATTGGTTCAACGGCGTAAAATCGCACTTACAACGAACGTCTCCGAGCGCCGCTAATCGGTTACAGCTAACGCAGTCAGCGGTCTTCCGACTTCCCGGGAAACCAATTTCGACCCCCGATCAGGCATTGGCGAGGTGCCCATACATTCTTATTGTTAAATGCCAATTCTGCCTCCGCGCCCCTCTAGTTCCTGCTCTCCCCGACCGTTTTTTGTTACGCATCTCTCCGTCATTTGTCCCCCTGCTACTCTGAGCACCCCGCATCGCCAGACGAGGATCGTGTTTTCACACTGCCACCGATCTTTCGAAGACCGGTCGGCCACGTACCCTGTTTTTAATCACTGGTACTGTCGGTGTCACCGGTCTGGAGTGACCAGACCGTTTGCCAACATCGTTGGCCACCGACTGTATCCGATAGTCTGCGTCTAGTGCACGCACATATGCTACCTCACAGACTAATAATTTGCAATTCGTCTCGTGTTTAGGACTTGTTCTCGCTCACTTCGCATTCAGCTCAGCATGCCTTCCGCGCGCGTGCAGAAGCGCGAAAACGACTGTTAATTTGTGCGGAACGAATCCCGAAATATCGAAGTTCGTGAGGCCACTCAAACCCGCCGGCGCAAAAAAACTATTTTTTGATCACGGCCACCGATTCTTCGAACGCCGCCGCGTGCACCGAACGAGGCGGCCTTGCTATAGTGGCTAGCCATGCTTTGACTTCTGCGCGCGCGCTGGCACTCTTTCCAAGTTTTTTTATGTGCAAGTTTCACGGATCTTTCAAGCAAGCTACCCAATCTGCCTCCTTCCCGTGTGTTTTGGTTTTCAAGGTCGCCCTCCCGCCGCATCCTCCCCTCTCCTTATCGCACGGAGGAAGGAATCTCATTTCTCCGTGCTTTATCACAACTCCTTGCCCTTTTCTCGCAAGTCTGCTCTCCTCTCTTGATCACAACCCCTTCAACCGTCTCCACCGCTCCGCGACGCCCGCCACGCTGGCTCGAATTAGTTTCGTTTTCCGACTGGAAACGTGCCCAGAGCTGTTCCACGCTAGTGTGCGTCTTGCTCGCTCTTGGTGTGCGTGTGTGGTCATGATGGCAGACGGGAGGACTATCACGCTTTTTCGTGCCGCTCAAAAAAACGTCGGAAGTGTGACCACTTGGCTTCAGCGTAATCCGCGTATTAGGTGCCGCGTTGCGGAGCGCTTGCTCATAGCTGTTGACCATCTGGCAGCCAACTTGCCGCTTCGGGCGTCCCGGTATTCAGCTGTGGAGATGGTGAATATTTCGTGGGTGGCGGTGACGGCTACACGTGCGCAAAACTATTTTCGCGAGGCTGACTTCATCGATCGTCGACATATCAGGCCCGATGCCGAGCCTGAAGCTTCCGAACAGGACCACTGCGGCGGCAATTTGTGGCAGCGCGTCGTCGACTCCGACCTGGGAGAGCGGGTGGGACATCTGTTGCGATGATTCAATTACGGCCGATGATGATGCCGACACTGTGGAACTGTGCACGGATTGGGGACATTGTGAATGAAGTACGCGGCAAGAGCGATTTGAAGGAATCGGATTGCGAGAACGACGAAGCTTTGGAGCCAGCGCCTCATGCAGCTTATGCCACGGGCTTCGGCGAACGAGCAGCCTGCCCTTTTAAATGAATTCGAGACCGCCCTTATCGTTTCTGCTCTTCGAAACACGTGCATCACGGACTTTTTGGGGCAAAAAAAGTTTGTGTTTTCACTCCCAACTTTTTTTAAAAGCTGTGTTTCATTTACGAGCTTCAGGATACAGCAAACGGATGCCTCGTCACGCTCAGGTTCGTTATAAGCGGGCTCGACTGTATTTGAATTCGCTTCACATCAAATTTAAGGTAACTAAATCTCGAATTATTCCAAACGAACGAATAGGTGCATATTAGTCCGCATGTGTCACCCTGTAAAAGTGGTATCACTGCAGTGAAGCAGTGCAAAGCGGTGAAAGCACATATCCAGGGAAAACCCGCACTGCCACGAAGCCACACTTTAAGGTTAAATACGGATATTGCCCCGACATCGGTTCCTTTTTTTTTTTTTTAAGTTTAGAAGCTTGGTATACCTACTCATATGCTCTAAGTATAGCAAATTTTAAGAAGTAACATATTTTACAAGCTATCGCTTGCATTCTAGCAAAAGTTGAATTATGATACTATGTAAAGGTGTTGCCGCTTTCCTTGATGCAAAAAAATTGTATTTACTGAGGCCTTCTCTTAATTTTTTTAAATATATTGTACAGATTTGTTAGGTCATGACAAATATGCCCATTTTTCTGTGTAATATGTGGTATATATATTATGCAAATTTGATTCGAAATTATTTTACCAAATTCCTATTTGCTTCGAATTCGCTTCAAACCTGAAATTGACTATTCGCACAAGCCTAGCCACAGGTGATTTCGACAGCTTATATCTACCTAGGAATGGCGAGAACAGACATTGGTACCTTTAACACAAGAGCTTCAAGAAAAAGCTGACATCGGCAGCATTAACCCGACAAATGCCATTAGTAAATGGCAGTGTCCCAGCAGGAATCAAACCTCAGCATTGGGCGTGGCAATCAAGCATTCTACCTGCTGAAATACAAAAAGACACGTACCATCAATGAAAAAAATTAAGGACACAAAGGGCACCCTTTCTGTTCTGTCCGTTTTCCTTCTTTGAGGGTACACGTCTTTTTATATTTCAGTAAGGATGTACCAACTAGCCCAACAAAAGTTTTATGAAGTATTCTATCACAGAGCTACGCTAGGCCTCAGAAGTGTTTTTGAAACAGACCCTCAAATTCTTGAAACGTCAATTGTGGTTGCAGCGCTGGCCATTTAATTTTATTAACATTACATGTGTACTCCTGTGATACAGCCCTCACGTTGGTTTAACAACGTTAAGCACCATCCAGTGAGGTTGATTTATGTAGCAGGGTCTAGGGCGACCATCCTCCCAAGCACAAGTGCTACACATAAGCTTACTGCTTCTGGAGTTTCTAATATCCATGTTGCGGTTGGTATCATTATGCAACTGTAAACAACTGGTCATAAAAAATATATGCGACTGTTAGACAAATGTCTGTGAATACAGCATTTGCACAAATATTTAAGGCAATTTTGTAACATTTCGCTCAAAAAAAAAATTGCAACACATTCACCGTCACTCGGCATGGCATACTTCGCATAACATTGATTCCCAATGAAGAATCTGCGAAACTTCGTAAAATTGTACATCGATGCAGACGTTTTCAAGGTTAAATAAAACAAGACAAATTTCTGTGCTATGATAACAAAAAAGCTAATTATGTGTTCGTTCAGTAAAAAATCAACAAGGAAGGCATTAAAGCCGGAGACATCTGCCAGATGTGAAGGACGCAAATCGAAGTTCAAATCTCACATATCCCTACATTCCCATGCGTACAACAGCTCACAGCTGCAGTTTTTCCTCTAGGAAAGTGTAAGAAATACTATGCAACTAGTGGCAGCCAATGCACACTTGCAATTGCACATATGAGACTCTGGGTGATATATAAATTTAGACAGCCCAAATGCACCTGAACTGTTCACATAAATGCTACTCCAATAAATGTTTTTAAAGATCAGCCTTTGACATTCAAGCGCCCTTTCCTTTGAGAGTGAGCCATGTGTAACAATAGGCAGTTGTACCTCCAGCATAGACTTGCGCCCAATGCTGGGCTGTCAGCTTGAACATCTCGGGGTTCTCCTTGAACTGGCGAGCCACCACAGCGTCCTGAGGGTCATCGGGCTCAGCAGCTGCCAGCAGAGCTTGCAGAGACAGCAGCACCGTCCGCAAAGTCATGGCCGCAGCCCTGATAATAGCAGCCAAAAAATGCAGCTTGAAGGACGCTGTCCACATTTTGCGCATGTCATCAGCTGTTCTCAAAACAAAGCTAGAAAAACTGTCAACAGCCCTTATGTGCAGCGTGATAGAGGGCACAATATTTTTTACTCCTTTTTTTTTTTGCTTAATTTTGCACCTCTTACTTCAGCGACATCAGAATGATCAGTTTTGTTTATAGTTTTTCTGTGCAACTCACAGACAGTGTCCTCATCTAGTTTCTAGTGTCTACTAGGATTTTTTCATTATTGTTGCTATACCATGCTCTATGCAAATATTGCTCAATTTTAATTCAAATTGCATTGTGATGTCAAATTAGCCAATATCTCACACAAGGCCTGTAAAAACCTTTAATAAAACTAAGAGCTTCAGTATTTCAGAGTTTTAGCCAGATGCTCATCACAAACCGAATCAACAGGAGCAGCAAATGAAGTTAAAGTATGACTGAGATACCACCAAGGAGTGCGGTCGTAAAAAGCAGTTATTTGCTCTATGAAGCGCGACTTTGTTGCACAGTCACACATGGCTTAACAATAGTTTTAGGGAAGGAGCACCTCAGGGTCATACAATGTTCGGTCAGCGTCAGACTCTCTTCACCGTGGTCTGTAGTCGAAGCACGGGTACAAAACAGCCATGTGCAATATAGTCTACAGAGCGTATATGAAGCGCACATTATTTAAAAAGCAAACAAAAAACCACAACACCACAAAAACACTGTCATTTAACCACCCATCAATCAAAGCATATGACAGAGCGAAAGGTTACACACAGAGAACAAAATAAAAGGCTCTTAACTAGAACAAAATACAAGGCCACACTATCATGAAAGCAGTAATGCCAACAACATGTGAACAAACCAAAACATCTGTGAATAACAAAAAATAATATCAAACGGCTGTTCACCAATACGAACAAAATATATAAAAGGTCACAATACTGTAAAAACACTGATATATAAACACCCATCAATCAAAGCATGACACAACAAAAGGTTAACGACAACAAAATAAAAGGATGTGCACTTGAACAAAATAGAAGGCCACGATTAACGATCCGAAGCACACTGCTTCACCTTATCATCAGCATTCACTTCATGGATCTGCCTTATTATTTTTTATTGCTTACACTTTGTAAACTGCTTAGGAGTATAAAATGGCCCTTCACTTCATGGATCTGCCTTATTATTTATTATTGCTTACACTTTGTAAACTGCTTAGGAGTATAAATGGCCCTTCCAGCTATAATAAGCACAAAATCAGAGGCACCTATAGCATACAAACATACTCGCACCTAACCACTGTGTTATTAAAAGGGCCAGTAAATAACCTCGCATTCCAAAATCTCTAATGGAGAAATAACTGCGCACTTGCACGTGAACATGCTGTCACAAGAACTTTGGGAATAAACGCTGTATTAGGGAAGCTATAGGGTATAGAACAACCTGCGTTGGGTAGCCTTGGTTCCTTGCTTGTCTTTCCCACCCTTCTCTCGCAACGCAGGGGGGTAGTGACTACCCCTTTGTCGCAACACCTACTTTGTCAACGTTATAAGAAGTCAATGATTTTGTTATCAGCACGGAGCCAACAATTGAGCAAGGCTTCATTCACGTGCACATGTGTCACAGCAGCGCGGGAAGGAAGCACGATGTGAGGAGTACGCAACACTAGTGAGGTATGCTCCATTCCCCTACAGTATCAGTAGCTAGACGCCTCTTCACCTCGGAGGTTTTCGTTCTGGCAATACCGCTTGTCCCGCCAGTCTCCGGCTCTACAAAACACTAGGGGGCTGCACAGGAAAATAAAACTGTAGACAGCGCAGTCAAAACTGCATCGTCCCAGTTCCAAGACGCTGTTTTGTAGTTTAGTGGCACAAATTGCTGCCTGTAAGGAGAATTAGACAGGCATAGGAAAGAGGCATTGAAATTATTTTCGTCTAATAATGGGTCTGCGCCGTGCGCAGCACTGTAATTTTCACAAAATATGCACTGTAATTTTCACAAAAATTTTCACTCTACTGTCCAAATTAGCATGCTTGCTTGGGGGTGTAAAAAATAACAGAAGCCAGAGCCTGTTTACTGATCCTTTAACACGCCTACTCTCCGACAGCCACCCCACCGCGGTGGTCTAGTGGCTAATGTACTCAGCTGCTGACCCGCAGATCGCGGGATCAAATCCTGGCTGCAGCGGCTGCATTTCCGATGAAGGCGTAAATGGTGTAGGCCCGTGTGCTCAGATTTGGGTGCACGTTAAAGAACCCCAGGTGGTCGAAATTTCCGGAGCCCTCCACTACGGTGTCTCTCATAATCATATGGTGGTTTTGGGACGTTATACCCCACATATCAATCATTACTTTCTGATAGCCAAGGCATTTCGGCGTGGTCATCCGCTTGCGATGACGCATACGCAAAACTACGCCATTTGTTGACATCTCCACCGATTCTCCGCCACTTCAATCTAGATGCCCCTACCGAAATCCACGCCGACGCTAGTGGAGTTGGCCTTGGCACTATTCTTGATTAACGCCAAGTCTGGCTTCGATGAGTATGTCGTTTCTCATGCCAGTCTCGCTCTTACTAGGGCTGAAGAGAATTATTCAGAAACAGAAAAGGAATGCATGGCCATAGTTTGGGCAATCACAAAATTTTGACCCTACGTCTATAGCCATCCATTTGACGGTGTGACTCCTCACCACGCCCTCTGCTGCAATGTTAAAGGGCCACTCACCAGCTTTGACAATTTTGAGCTGACAAGCGCAATGCGTAGACGAGGCGTTCGTGATCACGTCTGCCAAAATTTGCAACGTTACGCGCCGTGGAAATGGGTCAAATTTCAAGATGAACGCTGCTCCCCCTCCCTTCTGCGGGTGCGCGCCCAGAGAATGAGGGCATAACGTGCGCGTATGAATGGCCCAACCTACACGGCAATGCAGTGACGTTAGTCCTCTACGTAGACGACTCTGCTCTGACGTTGCAAACAGTGGCCTGTGACATGGCGAAAATTATTTAACACGGCATGCGTTGTTTAAGTAATTTGTTGCTTGAAAAGATTACTAAAATTCAGATAAATAATAAGACACAATAAGGAAATCTGAGCGTCTGTTTTTTTTTTTTTTCATTTGTCTCCCGTGCATTGCAACGAGATGCGGGGCTAATGTGCCGGTGTTTCGCATGCGTTCGTGTCCCCACAGGTCAGTGCATCGAGCAGACGACCGCCGTAAAACGCTCCTACGCGTGTGCGCACTCATTGTGGTCATCTATTCTACCACGTCTAAGCCAGCGTTTCCAAACCATCCCGCAGAAGACCACAAAATAACGCTGGTCAACAAAGCAATGCCGCTGGCATGCTCGGGGGTTGAGCTTGTTTGGGCACGTCGTGCGCACGTGACCTCTTGGTCAGGATGCCAGGAGAGGGTGGGGAAGAGATACGGCTTGCGAATGCTACGCGGAGGAGCGGCAAGGGTTTAGAGCTCGCCTCCTCTCATCCTCCTTTCGCGCCGCTTCAGAAAACCTGTTTTTGTTGCTCATGATAAACCAACTCAAAAAACTTTTGTGGCAAAATGTTCCTCATCGGACACCCAAACTTCCAGTGTCCAACTAAAATTTGGTATGGGGCCTGGTGAGTGGCCCTTTAATAGAACCAGGACAATTTCGCAGCTCCCCGTAGGCGTGCGCTCTCCGAAGTGGCCGCGGCCGCCGACGCGAGAACTAGTGGCGCTGTTGTGCCATCTTGCTTCAAGCTGCGCGCGTCATCTGCTGCAGTGCGAATGATTCGCGTTGTCGTCGCAGCTCCAGCCAGACGAGCAACTTGGTCGGCAAACACGGCCGAAGAAATTTTTGAGCCTCAGAAAGTGGCACAAATCACACGCTTGTCGTTGACGCGTTGACGCAGGCAGGCCATCTCATCCTACGAGACGCAAGCATTTGCCCAATTTTTCAACCAGAGAAAAGAACACAACTTGGTAATGACGTGAAGAAACACATTAGGGTTAAGAGGGGAGGTGGGGATCGAAAGTGAAATTCTTTAGTTTTTGTCGTAGAGCAATGAAATTTGGCATGCTTACTGGAAACTGCGCTAAATGATAAATGACAAAGTTTCATTCAGCTATCTCCAGTAGTTCTGGCATTATAAATTTTTTTATCCATCAGTGTACTACCAAACTTGCCCAAAGCCTGGTGTGACAAAAAAACATGGTAGAAGCCTATAGTTGCTCTTATATTTTAGCCATTGGGATGGTTGATGTCGTGACATTCTGCAAATATTTTTATGACTCTGTTTTTATTTTACAGAGAACATTGTATACATGCTTGTAAATGTGGTCGTTATCATAATGTGAAATTAGCTTAGGAGTAAAAATACTGAGGTAGTAATTAACAAATATGAAAACGTCACGACATAGAAAATCCACTGAGGAACACAATGCAAAAAACCACATGAAAATCCGTCAAGCCATAGTCATGCAAGCATCGTGGCAAGCTGGACAGTCGGGTCAAAACACGTTTCTGAGAAAACTGGCGTTAAAGTTGAACAGTCAGTAAAGGTCCATCAAAATGCCCCGGGACTGTAATACTTTGTGTCTTTGCTTGCGAGGGTCTTCTTACGTCCTTTCTCTTTCATTTTTTCTGCACTGCGTGCTTTTCGTTTTCTTTGCTGGTCTTTTTCTTCAGCTCTTTGAAGGGCGAGGCTAGCAGGTTTGATGCCCACGGACTTGCACATTTCAGTGTAGGCTCGCAAATTCCCAAAATTGTAGCGTGCAACTGCTTCATGTACTGTTGTCTCCACTGCGAACAATGAAGCGTGTTGGTCCTTTGAAGTCAGTGACCAAATAACTGAATGCAAGCTTTCCGCCGCATTCTGAGTTTTGTTGCCTTTGCATCGCTCCAACAGTTGCGGGTCAGAGAGACGTTGGTATACAGGCAGCAGAGCCTCCGCTACACGTTTCCACAGGTTATACCTGTGAGGTGGTGCTGGCTCCATTTTGGCCTGTGCTGAACGATGTTTGCACCAGCTATCAGGGCCAGGTGGGCAGAGCTCATGGTGAGGCTCGTCGTCGGTGGACGTGACGTGATAAAAAGTGGCCATCACGGCCCTTTGCATGTCAGGGACACTTGTGTGTTTTCGCAAGGCTAACCCGTAGTAGCTGGTCAGTTTTTTAATCAACTCCTGCGTCAGTCCACCTCTCCCACCCAATGGCTCCCCTTTCTTAGCTCTTGTCACCAGTGTGCGGAGAGCGGTGCCCATTCTCTTCTGCACATGGTTGACGCAGTCTTCTTTGGTCAGTGGTATGAAGCCGTACACCTCATCTTTGCACAGAGCAAGATAGGTTCGGCTGTCACCATCACATATAATGTTGGTGTAGCGGAGGCCATACCTGCTGACAGAGCGCCTGAAAAGTGTCAGAGCAGCCTCCACTTCCATCTGTCCGGAGCCAACATCAGTATTCTTCTGACATTGATGTTTCTCAGCCCAAGTGACGAAGTTGGGGTCGCTCTCTGCTGGTTGTTGACAACACCCAAGACAGAAGTTGGAAAGGACTGTGCAATCCAGCACAAGCCCCGTGTAAAACTCAATAATACATCCTACCCCAATGTGTGAGCTGTTGCCTCTTGTAAGCCACGTGCCGTCATACACAACTGTGATGTTGTTTGGGCTTGATGGCTGCATCTTACTGTACACGTCTTTTACCGCAAGCACAGCATCTGCAAAGATGTTTTGTGCAGCTTCCTCTGCTCCTGGTTTGAATGTTTTTTTTAGGTGTTCCTGATAGGTTTTTTGATGAATGCCCCGATGAGAGACATTCATTGTAGCCCAGAAGTCATTCAGGGCAGTGGGCCCTTTTCCAATGGACTTGATTGCTTGCATGGCTCTTAGGTTGACTTCAAAAGCCCTTCCTTCGGATTTTCTACTGGATGACCAAGGTGAATGAATAGGGCCACAGGAAGCACACAAAAGTACCAGTTTTACTGCCAGGCCCAATTTTGTCCCATGCTGCACTGACAAAGTCTTCTTACAACATTTTGGGCAGAGTGCAGGTCCTATTAGGGAATTCATGGCAGAAACCTGAATTAGGGTGAACTCATCCTCTTTTGTTGCCGATGTTTGCTCCGTTTGCTGCGCGAACCCGAACTTCCGCTCCGTTGCGGACACCTCGCGAAGTGCATCGCGGACACTGCTGGCTTGCTTCTCGGCGCCTTCCGAGGACACGAAACGAGGTTCCAGGTGTATTTGAACGGTGCGCTTCCGCTGAGGCAAACGATCGCCGACATCCTGGACAGCTGGCACCACGTCGTCGTCCGCCGCCGCGAAAACGAAACTTTTCTCGCGTTCACACCGCACCGTGATGCTGCGGCTAGTTGACGGCCCCGGGTCATAGGCCTCACTACCGGCCGTCGACTCGCCATCATTCCGAAGAGCTGGCACGACGTCGTCATCCGCCGCCACAGAAACGAGACTTCTGTCGCACTCGAACCGCACCGCGATGTCGCGGCTAGTTGACGGCCCCGCGTCATAGGCCTCACTGCCGAGCATCGGCAGCGAGCAGGTGTCGGCTTCCGACGACACGTAGCTTGGTGGCGACGCGGTACACGGTTCGTCTGATTCAATCGCTGCTGACTGCTTCGTTTTCCCAACAGGAGGCTTGCGTTTACGCTTCCCGTAAGCGTACTTCGTCCGGTACTTCGTCCTGCGCTTCCGGTCCACGCGACGATCCATTGCGGGCGCTAAGCCTCGCGCTAGAGAAGAGTTGGCGTATCGGCGACCGTATCGGCGTATCGGCAGGGGATTCGCAAACTATAGTGCGCCAGCGTGTGCGTAGCAGACGTGCGTGCGCGGAGCAGACGACCAGCGCAAGCAAGCGCGTCCCAGCAGCCACTCACAGAGCGCGCTCAGTACCACGTGACAGGAGCGACCAATGGGTGCGCGTCTAAGGCGTCGCGGATGCCTTCGCATTTTTTCTGTTTGTGCGTTTATTTTAGCTCGTAGAGTCGTGGTTTCACCGGGAGAAGTACGGCGGTGAAGCAAGCTTTCCAGTGACACCAAGCTTTCCGCGAGCGGGGGCGAAGGCGCGGAAGTATCGCGCTCGGAAATGGGCCATTTTCGCGCAGATTTCAGCCAGCTTTTTGCGATCCGCGGTCAGAAAAACATTTTTTAAGCTTACTTTGAGATCGTTTTCGGCGGAAATATTTTTAGATATGATAGAAATGGTGATGCAGAATCCAAATCTGCCCTTATCCAAAATTCGTTTTTTTGCGAGAATTTCGCGATTTGATCCCCGCGTCCCCCCTTAAGCCAATTCTCTTCAACATTCACCCAACGTTCAACAAAGGCCGAAAAAGACAGAGCGAGGGCGCTCATAAACAAGGCTACAAAAACACCACACGCACGCGCAATTCATAGATGCCGCCCGCTACTACGGCAGAGAGGCGTCTTCCACCGCGGTCGTTGATATAGACGGAAACCTCATAAACGCGACAACCGTCCAAGCAAGCCATGTCCACGAAGCAAAGGAAATGGCGACCGTGCTAGCCTTGCCGAGCTGCCAAGCCCATTCCACAATATACACAGACTCCAAGACGGCAGCACGAACATTCGCGGCTGTCCGAGTAGCTAGAAGCACTGGAAAACTGACCGTCAACGCAATAACAGAGTACGAGAGCAAAGAAACCCTTATTAAAGAAGAGAAAGCTCAAATCTACATATCCTGGTTCCCAGCCCACATGGGACAGTTACCGGGACACGACCACTGCAATCCCAACGAAGAGGTCAACCGCCTGGCGCGTGAGCTCACACGCCGCGCCGCGGACAACGACCCCTCGATGAGTGAGCAGTACGAGAATCTCTGCAGCCAGGACAAAGTACTCACATACCACGAGATCACTTCACATTACCGGGGACAAAGACGTGCTTTCCCAGCACCGCACCCAAAACTTAACAAAGCACAAGCTCTAACTCTCAGAAGATTGCAAACACGTACGTACATAACACCATCCACCTTACACAGAGTCGACCCCGACACACCACCCGCATGCTCCCTTTGCAAACATCCCTATTGCAATTTCGAACACATGCTCTGGCTGTGCCCTACCCAAAGCACAGCACAACTGAATACCCAAGAGGCTTGGCAGGAAGCCCTCAAGAGCAATCAATACAAGCTGCAACTACAGGTAGTCCAGAGGGCCCGGGACATCGCTACAAGCCTTCGGCTGCCAGCGCCATCCTGGGCGGAGCCTCCAGGTTGAATTAAGGCTTGGAACGGCCCTTTCTTAGCCTCCTCAGGATATGTTTAAATTAAGTCAATCTCTCTCTCTCTACTGCCAAAATACGAAGGCCCCTACCGAGTCCTGCGTCAGGCTTCGCCGGTCAACTATATTGTTGAGCCGGTTTAACCATCGACAGACCGACATCGTCGCGGCCGCGAGACTGTTTATGTCGATCTATTGAACCCGCACTACGGTCTACCTGTCATACCCGTTCCATTGGTCGCCAGTATGGCTCCTTTTCTGGGAGGGAGTGATTTGTAGCATTGATATATGGCACAGGCAGGAGCGACAGCGAAGGAAGAGTGATGTTAACAGCTAGTCAGTATTACCTCAGCATTTTCTCCAATAAACGTGTCTTTGGCTGACCGCTAAAGGCGTAGTAACAACAAAAAGAAAATAGGGGATCGTTGCTCAAATTCAGGTGGGGCCAAATTTTTGAGAAATACAGGTTCGAGCCATGCTGAAAGAGGAAGGAGACTGAGGAGATTCGTACATCATGCGTGACTGCACAAGTTGTGGCACTCGACAAAATACCAGATCAAGAGCATTTTCATTGAGTCCACATGCCTTGTGACTTGTGAATGTGTGCCACTAACACTATTTCACAATGACAGCATTAGAAATGTCCTCACCACTGGTCCTTGAGAATGTCCAGGCATATAGCGCCCGTCACAGAGCTGATATTCGGATGCCAAATTTTTGTAATGAAGCGAACCTGCATCAGGAAGCAAACAAAATTAGTTCATAGAAGAAAGTGGCACTGATTATGTTACTTTACAATGAAACACCAGAATGACATGATTAATTATGTCTTTGAAATATTTCCACTGAGCTTGAAGCATATGAATTAGTACCAACTGCACAATGGTGTCCAGCTCACTGGCATGCGTTTCTGCAAAAACATTGGCTAATAATTGACAGGGAAGCATTCCGGTATAAAAAAATTATTGAACTGCATAGATGCTGTCAGTGGTGACCATTGTGTAGCGACGGTAGAGATACATTACACTATGATCCTAATGAAGGAAAAAAATGTGTAAGTAAGCATCTGCTAAATTCATCGTGATAGGAAAATTGAAGCAAGTCCCCTGTAACAGCCACACCTGTGAAAATGTGATTAGTCGTAGGACTGTGGTGCAATGAAGTCGGATCATAATAACATGCCAAAAAAAACTGTATGCATGGCCATGTTGCTTGAGAAGATACTTGAGTCACCGAGTGGCAGAGAGGAAATTAATGGTGAAACTAAGCACTGATGGCCACCTCCACATGCCAGAGCTCTGCCTGTGCATATTTGTCATGCCAGAGGTCATGCCAGACCTCTGGCATGACAAATTTGTCATGCCATTTTTGTCATGTCATGACATATTTGTCATGCCATTTGTCTCTTGCAGGCCTGGAAGCCCATGTGGCTTTCACAAAAGGCTTCTTTTAACTTTCCCATTACCATGAGGCTACTAAGCATGTTAGCATAACGATATAATTGTTCCAAAAGTATCTATTGTCATGTGGTAATCACCACTAAATAGTTCAATTATTTCATTGTGTGAGGAAAAAGATAGCCATGCAGAGAAGCGCACTGGCTGCACCCTGTATGTGGGTGCTATGATAGTTGCTGAATGCCTCAATAAACCCCTGTAACATGAGATAAAAATGGCTATTGCACATTCTGAAGCCATGTGGTACAAAAAAGTGCACTGAATTATTCGACAATGCAGTGAAGAAGTCAACACTACAGTTTAGGCACAAAATTGAATACGGTCAAGATTTTGTTTCATCTACCGGTAATTAATTTCTTCAAGTTGAATGGTTGCAAACGGCCTTGAGACAATGCTTTACCCATGGGTGACTTATTTTTGTAACCATGTTACAAGGAAAGCATATAGTGAAGCACTCTGTAAACTGCGCTTTAGTGCTAACACAGCCTCATAGTAAATGTTCTATAAAACAAAACAGCACATGTGCATGCAAAGCCCACCCAACGTGGGAGTGTTTGGACACAACATTAATTCCCTCGTTCTGATGGACAATGGCCCCACATGGACCTGCCATTCAGTCAAGTTATTCCTCAAAAAAATACAAGCAGCCACCCGACCTTGGGTGGGTTGAAAGGGTACGTCTCGGGGACATGGATCTCCAGGACAAAGGTGCCTCCTTCGTAGGGCGTGTCTGGAGGGCCTGCTATCTCTCCCCGAAGCTCTGTGTAGTTGTCATTCACCAGCTCTACTTTGATGGCACACTTGGCAACCTGTAAAAAAAATTAAAATGGGCAACTGCAGCAATATATCCAGAAAGTTCAAAGCACTAATGCTTACATGAGAAACATTCCACATTGTGCCAATGTGCTACAATAGCATAACAACACATTGTAAGGGTGCAAATGTGATGCTTCAAAAGAAAGCAAGTTATTACGAGGGTGTATGTTAAAAAAAAAACTTATGAAACTGGCACCTGGCCAGAACTAGTTGGATTAGGTTTGCCTTAATTGCAGCAAAATAGGGACAGTAAACGCTGCAAAAGAAAAGATGCCTTGTGACTGTACTTGCACAGCTAACAGCCCCACGTACCCTCAAACACAGAAATGGTACATGCATTTTTTTTTACACGCTACTCATAATTACTCTCAACACCCTCTCATGTGATCAGAACGAATACCGGAGGCGAGGTTGGCGGTGTAACCACTATGTCCCCCCGGAGTAGCATCACGCTGGTAGCTGACCACCTCGAACGTAAGGAGCAATTTCAAGAGGCCTCTACCGAGCCCAGTTCAGCTCACCTTCAGTCTTCCGTTGATATTGCAAAACGTAACGCAAGCTTTCGTCCCGATTCAAGCACGACGTTCGTACGCATGCCGTCACGGCCACTTTTCTTTCACGTGCTACCGATGAGGAGGCCCAGCGTCCGACAGCGCCAACGGATCGAGACCACGACAACGGCCGAGTATGACCACGCTGCCCACCAGTCGGCTTGCTCAGATATCCCGGCAATGACACTACAAGAAATGCACGCCTACCGTAATTGGGTGCCTTCGATACCCTGCGAGGCAACCAAGTCCGCGCATATTTTTTTAACGCGATGCAGCAACGGACACCGAACTAGTAGCGGGTTCTTTAAACGGTTCAGTGCTGAGCGCCTGGCGCAGTGCTGCGCTAACCTGTCCACACTCTCACCGCGATAACTATCCGGCGAATAACGAATATATATCGGCGGGGTACGGTATTAAAAATGCCAAAGAGCTTTAAAAACGCAACGACTACGATCTACATGGGCGCTCACCTCTTCGCTTTTGACGACTTCCTTGAATTCCCTTTTTATTCTTTGTACGGCGATGTTTGCCATCGTATCGTAGAATCCATATATGTTTTATGTGAGAGCTAAAATCGTTCCAAGGCGTGAAGCAACTCAGCTGGATCGGCTGGGTTGACGGCCTTCGCCGACAGCCATTAACAAAACCCGAGGCGAACCAGTGCTCCTGTGCGAAAGGCTCAAGATTTTACATAATCACAAATGCCGATTTATTTTATCACTTTTTTTCTTTGCTTCTCTGTGCAAACGTTTTATAGTTTTTATTATTTTTTTATTTTTATAACATACACAAACAAGTTTTGGGTATTTGTTTGCCATAATATTTGAACACTTGTTTCGTCTTGGCGGTATTTTTAAAAGGGCCATGAAACAAGTAGATGGATTCAATAAAGGAACTTATTGCCTGACTAATTTACCACCGCAATTTTTTTAGAGCCGAAGCTCCCAAAGGCATAGATCTGCCCGTCCCTTGTATGTATGTATGTATCTACGTGACCGCCTATAGTTCCACTATAGTGAACTAGATCTATCTGATTCACTATAGTTCCACATACCCTTGCCAACTTCCCACTACTTCGTCCTTGCAAACATCCCACTACGCCCCATCCCCGATCCACCACTTCGGCGACCATAAAGCAAATACTGTTGAGAAGTAGCCAATATGAAATGCAAGATGGTCGTGTACTTGTATTCAGGTGCGCGCTAAAGAACCATACATTGTCCCACTGTGTTCATCCCTTGTTTGTACGTGACCGCCTATAGTTGCGCCTTTGCAAACTGCTCACTACTTCGTCCTTGCAAACATCCCACTACACCCTATCACCTATCCACTAATTCACCGACCATAAAGCCATTATGATGAAGGAGGAATGGAAGCGACGTATAGCTACCACTTACGAATAATAAAAGTTGTTGGATAATTATATACCCGTTTTTGTGGCTGAATTTCTGGCAGTAGTGCTAGCCTTATGCGAGTTGGATACGGCAATTACATTTATAATAACAGATTCTCTATATCTCTGTGCGGCACTTTCTGTTAGGCGTTCCGTGCACTAGTACCTGTGCATTTTAGAAAAGTCTGATTAGTTTGGGTGCCTGGACATAAAGGGCTCTTTCTCAATGAAATGGCTGGTTCCTCAGCTAAGTCGTCACTAAGTGGACCGATTTTACTGTACTTTCCATCATCCACTTATGTGACTGCTGCTCGATTCTGTAGGCGTGCGCTTACGGAAGTCTTTGGAGACACAGCACTGACAAACTCTGCGGAATATCGTCATTTATTATATTCCTGTCGAAAAGCTTTTTGCCAAACCCGTAAGCTAGAAGTACCCACCACAAGGATGCGCTGCCGGGTATCGAATCTAAATTTATACAAACACAGGTCTGCACCTTCGCCACTGGCGCGTTGTGTGGTGAACTAGAAACAATCTATCACTTCTTTTCGACTTGGAGGCGGTTTGCTGCAGTTCAAAAAACCTCTTTAGAAAAGCCTGTACGTGTTATTGGTATGGATTTATCTGTGCCTGTCATTTTGAGTTTTAGGCTTGAACATATTTAACACAGTGCATGACTACGTAGACACAAGAGCAATGACTCACGACTGATTTTTTCATTGGAAAAACATGAACAGAAAAGGAACGCTTTAACCTTCACACGCATATGTGACCACACTAAGGCAAGAAAAAGCAGATCAGCTAACATTTTGAACAATAAAAAAAGAACCTTGGTACGTCCCACGTGCACTCCCCAACAGCATGTGTGGAGATAGGTTTGCACAAGGCTTACCTACTATGCGCAACCGTGTAGGGATGCGACGTCCTCCACTACCGCTGCGTGCGAAGACGTTACGGCCGGGTTCGTCGTTTTCTCCGGCACGGCGCAGAAACCACGCACTAGGCAGGATAACAACAACAACGGGTTCATTAACCCAAGATGCAACACAGTGCGACACTCACGGGCTTGCAGGCCGTATAGGGAACTCCGCAAGACCTAGCAAGTACGCTTGCCTAGGGCGCGACGACTCCCGCACAAAGGCCGAAGTCTAACGCTCGAACGAAAAGCCGCCTCCTAAGCAGCTCGTCAACCTCTCGTGGAGGCCTGAGAGCATCTGCCGCGACGAGCGAATCGTCGGGCGCAACACAGCTCGTAGGAGAGGAGGATCTCACGCGCGCCCAATGGGAAATGGCGCTGCGTTGTGACGTAGGCCCGCGCAGCGCTTCCGCGTAGCTTGCCCGGACATGCCAGCGCGGGAAGAGCCGACGGTTGACTGGCCCAGACCAAGAGGCGCCCTGGCAGCCATCTTGGCGGATGCCGGTGCTTATGCGTGCCCGGGCTACGCTGTCGGCGCGCGTGCGGCAGCTGGGAACGAGGCGCCAGGCAGGAGGGAGCTCTCGATTCCCACACATGAAAGTTAAGATATCGTGCTATCTAAGAACCTAACCTCATTATCATGTAGGGCTATAGAAGGCACGCTGATCCATCGTTCGCTCCCTTTTTTTGTATTATTGCTTCAATTATTTCTCCTGTGGTTTGATTTCTGTGTGCCGATAGAACTTTTGCTTCATGAAAGATATACCCAAATGTGTCTCAACAAGTTGCGCCGTGTCATTGCGCACTTATCTTTAATGAAGAAAAAGTTCTATCGACCTATAGAAACCAAACCACTCGAGAAATAATTGAAGCATATAATATCAAAAAAGGGGCGAACAATGCATTAGCGTGCATTCTATAGCCCTACATGATTGTGAGGTTAGGTTCTTAGACAGCACGATATCTTAACTTGTATTCTGTTGGATAGCGCACGTCGGGTGTATCAAGCTTTTTTCATTGTTCAAAATGTCAGCGGATCTGCTTTTCCTTGCCTTAGTGGGGTAACATGGGTGTGAAGGTTGAAAAGTTCCTTTTCCGTTCATGTTTTCCCAATAAACATTCAGTTGCGAGTCAACGCTGTGGTTTGTCCCTTCTTCTATTGTGACCGTGTAGTCGTGCACTCAGTTAAAATATGTTCAAGTACTGTTACCAACTGGCCCGGCTTTCAGTCCTACTTGTCCCTTGGAGCCTCTATTTCTGGGTTCTCCAGTGCGAAGGCATGCGCGGCTGTCAGGTACTATATTAATGAACCTAATATACGTATAAAATATCAGGGTACTGCTCTAATTTAAAGAAAACTATTTTTAATTTGAATAAATAATCATATCCCAGACAACACTCGATGTCCTGCGGTCGTCCTCAAATGGTACAATCGTCCTCGCACAGTTATAATTGACCTCGGTACTGTTATGCCTGCGAGTCCGCAGCGAACATCCATGCCTCGGAAAAAAAATTCCGCCATATCCACGAAGTGAATGATGATGAGTGGGCGAAGCTCCGGAGGTAAACCTGGTAAACCATGAATCCTCTGTACATCTTGCCCACTCGATTTTATTACATCGCTCCCCCTAGCGTACGTCGCCGCACTAAATCGAACAATTGCCTTCAACCAATGACACGCACCATATGTGACATCATTCCTATTTTATAAGATCTCGCGTCTTTCATCAACTACAAGTACCGCTTTCTAGTTTATAACATCTTGCATCTTTTCATCATCAGCTACAAGTACCACCATCTAGTAAACACTACAAGAAGTAAACGAGAGGTGGCTACATGGATTGATGGATGGATGGATATGGCTGTACCCTTTAGATCGGGCGGTGGCTAGCGCCACCAAGCCGTAATACCTAATGAACCAAAAACTATATTTTTTTCCTTAAAAAAAGAAAAAAAAAGAAAAAGAAAAAAAGGGAAAAAAGAAAAAAAGAAAGAGTTTGAGGATTTGTATTTTGCAGTGAAGAGTTTAATTTTCACTCGTGCCTTGACTTTAGCCACCAATCAGATAACCTCCTTCTAGTTAAGTCTACCCGCTTAAAGTTTATTTTGCCCTCCCGGTCCCTAAACCCAAGTGCTTTGAAAAACTCTGCGCCATCATCCTGAACTATAGGGTGAAGCCCTTTACAGAACATTATCAAGTGTTCGGCAGTTTCTTCTTCCTCTCCACACGCACTGCATACTGTGTCTACCCCTTCGTATTTGGCCCGATATGTCTTGGTTCGCAGTACTCCCGTTCTGGCCTCAAACAGTAGAGAACTACCCCGTGTATTATCATAGATCCTTTCCTTGGCAATTTCCTGCTTAAACGTTCGATAGATCTCTAGTGCGGACTTCTTATCATGCCCATTCTCCACATGTCAGTCTCCGTTTCCTTCACTTTCTTCTTAACCGATAGTTCTTTTTGGTTTGGCCACCTGCTGTTTTCTAAGTATTTACCAGTCAACTTCCTGGTTCGCTTCCTCCATTTTGTATCGACATTCTTCATGTACAAGTAGCTGAAAACCTTCCTAGCCCAACGCTCTTCCCCCATTTCTCTCAATCGCTTCTCAAATTTTATCTTGCTGCTAGCTTCCCTGCCCTCAAATGATGCCCATCCCATATCACCTTGTACTCCCTGATTTGGTGTATTCCCGTGAGCTCCTAAAGCAAGCCTACCTATTCCCCGTTGCTTAATTTCTAATCTTGCTTGAACTTCTGATCTCATGCACAAGACCGCATTGCCGAACGTCAGCCCAGGAACCATGACCCCTTTCCATATTCCTCTCACAACATCATACCTATTGTAATTCCACAGTGCCCTATTTTTCATGACTGCTGCATTCCTGTTACCTTAAGTCGTCACGTATATTTCGTGTTCCCTCAGATACTCGGTCCCATTGCTTATCCATACGCCCAGATATTTGTATTTATCTGTTATCTCTAGCGTGACCTCCTGTATTCTAAGCTCACTACCTTCGTTGTCATTGAAAATCACGACTGCTGATTTTTCCTTACTGAATCTAAAATCTAACCTATCTCCCTCATTACCGCAGATGTCCATCAATCTCTGCAAATTTTCCTTGTTGTTGGTCATTAGCACTATATCATCTGCGTACATTAATGCTGGTAGTGCCTGATCAATAAGTTTTCCTTGTTTGACTAAAGAGAGGTTGAAGCCCAGTCCACTTCGCTCTAATTTTGCCTCTAATCCTTGTAGGTACATCATGAATAATAAGGGTGACAGGGGGCACCCCTGCCTAAGCCCCCAGGGAGCATACAGGAGACGGTACCGCCATCTAGT